CCAAAGCTGTATTTAAGTACAATTTGTTAGAATCCTATTACTGCCCATTTTCAGAGTCCTCTCTCTTATGTTTATATAATTCATTTTATTTCTGCCATTTTCCACTCTCTGTTATATGTATTTATTTTTTTGCATTCTTGATTTTAACTAGATTTAGTGACTAGTCTTCACCCTCTATAGTCTCTTGGTATTCCGGACATTCTACATCCTGTTTGTATTCTAATCTCCTTGTTGCTACCTTGTAGTTTTTATCAAATATATATAAACTTTTCTATCAGTATTTCTAATTACCACTAAGGATAAGCATTACCTTGGCAGTGGCAATAATAATTTTTGGAGCCTACTGGTGACATTAAGAGGTTGCTTTGGTTTTGTTTTGGGTGTGATAATTTTCTTTAAAGATTCCAAAAATGCTTTAAATATGCAGTAAAATATTTACAGATAAAAGTATATGATGCTTAGGATTTCTTCAAAATAATTAGAGAAGGAGATAGGGAAGTATATGGAGATAAAGAGAAAAAAGATTGGTAACAAATTGGTTATTATAGAGATGGGTGATGAATACATGGAATTTATTATACTCTTCTGTATACATTTGAAATTTTCTCTAATAAAAGGTTAAAGAGATAAAAAAAAAAAAGTCACATTCCTCCCCACCCCACTCCATATACAATTGACTCTAATGGTGATTTGCAAAAGCAAGTCATGGACAGATAATTTTGTTGTTATTTACACAGGCTGGAAAGGCGCGTTGAAATCAAACCACAAAGAGCCTTAGCTAGCTTAAAGAGTGTGGACTTTTTAAAAATGTCAATGGCAAATAATTGAAGCCTTCTGAAAAATCTGTTAATATGTACAGTTTCAGTGGAAAGTTTATTTTAACCTTAATTTTACATGTAAGTATTTCATCCTCCACTTTTTCCATATTTATTCAGTACAAACTAAAGTAATCCAATAGTATGTGAAAATTCAGCCTTAACATTTTTTGTTTTCTCAAGTGATTAAAATAAACATTTCGAAGTAATAGTTTTATTTAATCTACACTAGAGGATATTAGAGTTGATGAAGGGGTGTCATACAGTACAGTTAAGAAAATTTTCATGAGAACTACATTAATTGAAAAAGAATACTAATGAAAATGTAAATAATCTAAAATGAAATCGTCCTCCGATGTGATATTTTTATTTGACCTTAAAGGCTGATTAAGATTTTCATGAACTTAAACTCGAATCTGTGCAGTAAATTATCAAGGGGTTGTAATTAGAGTTACTTCCTTCCTAGATCTGTGAGGAAATTCCCATCACCATTGATGAGAATTGTGCATAAAGATCATGGGAAGAGCATGGCCCTTGGGTTTCCTCTTAAATAGCCTGTAGGATTTGTTATGGTTATATTAATGCACTGGTCCTTGGAGACACTAATTTCAGTTCTGTCTCTACCTTTGATTTGCTAAAAATGACAAAAATTGGGGATGGGAACCCCGAGATGTAGATATCTTTTCATCCTTTCTTCTTTATCTATAATTAATTTATTATCTTGCTCCACAAATGCCAGATCTTTAAACAACGAAAATGCTTCCAAACAATGAAAGAAAAAATATATTGCTCTAGAGATTACTAAGTGGCTAACAACTTCTCTGGAAGTTAGACTTTCTTTAGAAACTAAGGTTCCTTCTTTGTCACTGTGGTTCTGCAACACATGTGTCAGAACACTTGGCCAGGGTATTTAGAAATGTCTATGGGCAGAGGCAACAGGATTTTTACTCAGAGAAAGTCTTGAGCCACGTGGCAAATGTTGAGGAATTGTAGAATGATTCTGTGGTATTGGGGATAAGCTAAAGAGAAAAAATAAAAGATGGTAAATGTCAGATATGGTAGATGTTCAATATATATTACTGGATGAGTAAATAATAGACATGTGAGAACAAAAATACCTTCTCTATATAAAATGTTTCATTTACATATTGTAGTATTTTATACATTACACTATTTGACAATAAGCAAATGGCAGATGTCAAAGAATCAGGAAAAGCACTTGGGAGTGGGCAGATGTAAGGGCTCTGCTGCAGATTTTTAGATCAGATTCATGTTAAAAAGATCTTTTGTCTCTGTCCTAGAGAACAAATGTAATGCAATGAATTAGTTATTTACTAAGAATCTAATTTCAAGCTTTTGTCCTGGGCAAATGAATTAAATGTTTTAAAGCTGTTTATAAACACTAACTCACTTAATCTTTACAATAACTTGTGAGATAGGTACTATAATCATGATTTTATGTATGGGGAAAATGAGGCACAAAGAAATTAATTTTGTCAAAATCTCACATATGTTAAGTGTTGAAATTGAAATCTAAACCAAGTAAATCTGGCTTAAGAGTCTATTTTCTTCACCACTATTCTATACTGTCTCATGAGATGGCACTAGAGCAGAGACCTAAATAATGACAGGAGAGACCTATGAGGCTTCCTGGGGAAAATGCTCTAGGCAGAAGCAAACACATGACATAAAAGTATGTACGGCTCTCTTTCAAAGAACAGCAAGGCCAGTATGGTATAGAGTGGAAATGACTGAGGGAAAGATTGATAGCAATGAGATGGAGTGGCTTATGGCATTGAGAAGGATTTTGGTTCTCATTTTTAGAAAAATGGAAAGCCAGAGGAGGGTGTTAAGCAGAGCAGTGATGTAATATTTAAAAAAAAATATTGTGGAGATGTGTAAAGACTAGGGTGGAAGCAGAAAATCTAAATATTTAATATAAAATAAATTTATATTCAATACATATCAAAGTTATACAGGCACATTTAAGTATTCAAATTTTAGTCAAAATTAATACTCATTTTACTCAAATCATAGTAATACTCTAAAACATTTGTAGACTTTTGGAAACTGTTGATGTGATCTTTTGTTTGATGTGGCTGTCACTAGCTAAATGATGTCCCTGTCTGAGCCATGTCATGACACAAGGGGCCCCATTAAACTTCTCCTTGACTTCCCCATTAGGATGGTCATCAGATCCTTGGCACTCCACATTTGGTTGCAGCTGGAAGGTGGCTGGCAGAACTGCCCATGTTCCATAGCTAGATTTGCCCCTGGACTCAGAAATCCTGCATCTCAGCCCCACTGTGTCTCAACATTACCTGCTCCACAGCCTGTGTCACCTCCACAAACATTGGGCTGCCACTAAGCATAAGTCAGTCATTACATGCTCTTATTACTGGTGTGGCAGCTGCCTTGGTGTGGCAGTGAGGGACCCACATCCGTGCCAGAATTGTAGGGGTTCTGATATCCACCTCAATAGTCACTGGCTGAGTCTTATTAAGATAGACTTTTCTTTAGCAACCTGTACAAAAATGTTTCAATATTCTAACAATTGATACAGCTACATCCATATATACTGGGTGATAAGCACCCAGCCAAGACTATGGAGGAAGTGGTAGAGGCAGAGAGAATAGGTCATATTCTGGATATATTTTGAAGGCAGACTTAATAGATTTTGCTAATGAATGTGATGTATGTAAGAAAGGTGTCATGTATAACTCGCAGGTTTTGCCCTGAGTGATTGCAAGAAAGACTGATGAAAAGGAGCAGGTTTTGTTACTGGAAATGAAGCATTTGGATTTAGACACAATAAGTTTGAAATATGCATCAGGTATTCAAATGGATCTTCAAGTACCAGTTTGATATATGAGTCTGGAGTTCCAAGGAGTGGTTAGAATTCTTCGGAAATTATGAACTCAGTAACCTGATACACACTTTCCATTCACCTTGTTAGGATCATGATTCTTTTAAGATAAGATTTAAATATATGCATGATTACCCTCCTATTTCCATGTTTGTAAATATAGAGAAAAACAAAATCAAATCTGTATAAAAAGCTGCACAAGAGCTCAGCTTTCTGATGTTTAGCCATGTGAAAATTAAGAATAAACCCATAGTTTATTAGCTTAGTACTTCTCTCTGTGCCCTTATTCCTCCCTTGAAGATATAGGAGCTAAGGATGATTAAATTCAGCTTTGGCAGAAAATTGCACATTAGCAATTGAGATAATGCTAAATCTATATATACTAAGCCTTAATTCGGAGATTACTGTGAAAGAAATATTTTAAGATGAGAGGTGGGAAATTCAAAGAAAAAAGGTTGCAAGATTTCCATGACATATCAGGCTCAGATAGAAAAGCCAAGAGAACATTTTAAAATTTGGAACGAAAAGAAATAAAAATGAAAAATATATATATAGTTTACTTGGAACAACAAATCTCAGAGAGTGACTAGAGAAAGAGAGAGAGAGAGAGAGAGAGAGAGAGAGAGAGAGATCTCAGAGGTGTTATCACTGTATGATATCTCTTTCACATGCTTCTTAAAATATTTTTTTTCTTGAGATTTACTTAGGGATAATTGTGTGAAAGAGGAATCACAAAACCACAGTGAATACAAAGTAAATATTTTAATAAAATATTCAATATAGTATTTTCCCTGTGGGAGCTTTTAAGAAGAAATGAGAAACTGAAGGACATGTCTATCATTGTTGGGAACCCAGTTCTAAAATGAAACAGGAACGTTCTTAGCTTTTCTCCAAAGCTCCTTGTCTAGTTTTGCCAGCAGGCTGCCTAGAGGACCAGAGGACCAAGTGAATGAACAGAATCTATTTTGAAGCTGATAGAGTTAAGTAGTTTTTGCCTTGAGCTTTTAACCAGGTTCAGTATCATGGAGAAGGCACCATACTAGTTGGTATAGAAAGATGTTAACAACACAATTTTGTCCCCCTCCCCCATACTATTTGTATTTCCAGTGAACAATAAAAACAGAGAAATCTGTAGTTTCACCCACTAAGCATTTCAAACAGAATCATTCCTTGGCCAACTTTTGTATTCAAGGTCTATTACTATTAATGTAATTCTTGTGTTTTGAATTGAGAGCATAGTATTTCCTAAACATAACTAAAGCATACCACTGCAAATATTACATGTATGAAACGATTGTGAGCCAAGACTCCTCTACCTTGTGTGTTACTGTTTTATTGATACAGAAAGTGCTATTGTTTGAATATGAATATCATTTAGTGCATTAAGATGTAAAAGGACAAATTACTATGTTCCAGCTCTAATACAGTCCTATAGTGCCCTGCCTGAAGCATCTCAACACTTGATAAAAGACTGTCATGATTCTGATGTATTTTGATTTCCTTCTGGAGTCATAAATTGTACCTTCGGCACAATAAGGGATGAGTTGTTCCTTCGGATAGAGTTGCTCCTCCTCATGGAATTATTTCTTCTCATGGAATTGCGCTTCCTCAGGGAATTTTGATGGGACAGTTCACTCTTCTGGAGGGTCTGAATAAGGATGGAAGGCTTCTCATCCAGCTCTCGGGCACTGCACCTTGGAGCAGCTACTTTAACAGTGTTTCCAAACTTGGAGTAATCCACAGAATATACTCCTTCCTCTTCAGTTACAATAGACACAAAGCGATGGCCCCATTGGATCTCCTCAGCAATGTAGGAGGTTCTTGCCTGTGTGGTAATGCCAGTAGTTTCAACCACTCCTTCCAGAATCACTATGACCTCTAGGTCTTGGTTAGCAAGGTCAGTTGCTGAGATATCATACAAAGGGCTGCGCTTGTCAATCACATGGCAGATGATCAAAGGGGCCACCAGAAAAATGTTGTTACTGTCAATTGGGTTATCAACAGGAATGTCCAGCTGGTGAATAGGTACCACCTCCCCTTCAGGTGTAGTTGTTTTCTTGACCACCTGGATGCGCACCGAGGCACTAATAATCATGCTTTTCCTCAGGTCGCCCACTCGGAACATAAAGCACAGTTTGCCATTTCGAACAGCAATCACAGCATGGCGGCTAAAAATCAAAGTTTCTGCCCTTCTGTGAGCCTGAGCTGTTTTCATGAAAATACAGCCCAGCATGACTGCATTGATGATCAGACCCACGATGTTCTGGAGAATCAAAACTGTGATGGCCAGAGGGCATTCCTCTGTCATCATTCTCCCTCCAAATCCAATGGTCACTTGAACCTCAATGGAGAAGAGAAAAGCAGAGGTGAAAGACCTGTAAGAATAACATCAGAGAACAATGCCATCAGATCAAATTTTGACTAATGAAATTTTGACTAACGACCAAGCTAAATTTTTTTTTCAACTTCATAAACATTATTTTTCTAAAATGAAATGTCTAAACTGAATTTGTCATTTTTTTTCCTCCAAAAGCTACTACATGCCTTTGGAAAGATAAGCCAACTTAACTTGTCAAATGCCTAATTCTCTCTCTCTCTTCTGCATGCATCTACCTCCAAACTTCTGGGACACAATACTATTAATGTTTTCTAGGTCATGAAATGATGGGCCTACTTGTGTGAAAGCTTTAAAATAATAAATATACATATTTATGTTTATAGGCACTTTTATTTTGTAAAATAATTTACTTCACGAAGGCATAGTTTACTTTGTGAAACTTTTTGCCAGGTAGATGTTTATTATTTATAGCATATCTGTCTTTAAGTGACTTGAGTCATATGGAAGGTACTGACTAATGAGTGAACTTATTATTATTCACAACCTTTAATTCATATGCATTAGCTAACACTTATTGTGTACCTTATATAGAGAAATCACAATCCTAAAAAGTGGTACAAAACACATCATTCAAAAATATTAGTATTTTTTAACAAAAAAAAGAGAATGTTTTGCCATTTGGAAAGAAAAATATTTTCTTACTGATTGTCTCATTTTGTTTTGTAAGTGATCTGGAGAATGCTGAAGCTATTAAGGAGGAATTTGAGGCAGAGATGAGTAAATGACTGGGTTGAGATCACATAATAAGAAATTGAATCCTCTCAATTCTGGCCTATGTTCTGAAAGGGGCAAAGGGAAGGGTCAATAGTGTCAGGATTTTCTTGGGAAATGTTTCCAAATTTCACATTTCTTCCATATCCCAGTGAATAAATGTTTATTTGGTAGGTTTAGGGTGGACCTGGGTGAGGCTTTTGAAAAGCTCTCAGGTGACTCTGATTTATCCCCCTGGTTGAGAAGCACTACATTTGGTTATTCTTATCATTAATTTATTCACTTAACCACATATCGATACTGCTGTGGCTTCTTAGTAGAAATGACATTAGTCCTGTACTTGCCTCCCACCCCAATTTCAAACTTCTTTAATTTTGTAGAACATCAGCCATGCATAGGCCATTAGTCAAAGAATTATTTATTACTACCACACACAAGAGTGAGCAAAGTGTATATTGTTTATGAAAGAATTTAATTATAAACATTATGTGGTGCAAGACCCAGCATTTTATGGACAACCATTGTACGGAACAACCTCAAGAGATGAAAGTGTTTAGCTGCTCATTTATTTTACTAAAGAGAAAGAGAGTTATTCATATGAAAGGGAAAGTGAGTCATCCTAAAATGAAGATGGTAAAAAGTTATTTGGACATACTGGTGAGTATGCATCACAATAAGTTGTTTCCAATATTGATATGGTGGGATGCTGAACTTATGAAAGAAAACGAAATGCAAAGAATTAGAAATGTTATTAGTCATCTTTTAAACCCCTTTTGGGAGAGAAGAGAGTATTTTCTATTTCTATAGTTCTGGTGAAAAATTTATTTATTATATATGATTTGTTATGATTAAACTGCATGTTGAGATTAAAGTATAAATAGTATTATAACGTAATAAAACCAGTAAGATTTTAACCTTTAACATTTAAATCATTTAAAAATTATTTAAAGATGTCAAATAATTTTTTTAGACAAAAAGTCCAATTTAAAATGCTAAAATTAAAATTTAGTTTCCCTTAACCAGCTGAGATAGGATAGCAGTGGGAATTCTAATGGGGGTGAGAATCACAAGTGAGAAATCATTCTGGAGCAAAGGAATGTGGCAGAGAACAGGAGCCAGGAGTAGGCAAAGTGGTCACTGGGTGCCTTAGCAACACGGGAGCACAGAGCCCTAAAGGTCAAAGAGGAACTGAAACACACAACCTCCTTTAAAAGAATATACTAGAAGATGGCAGACTAGGTAAACGATGTGCTTGCCTCCTTCTACAACCACATCAAAACTACAGAGCAACCATCATTGAGAACCGCCTGAAGAACAGCTGTGCAGAAGACCTACAATTAAGGATGTATAGAAGAAGCTAAGTCCAGACTGGTAGGAGGCGCAGAAACACAGAAAGGGCAGGCCCCACACTCATAGTATGACAGTTAAGAAATGGGAGGGATATCTCAACTGTGAAAATTCCTCCTACCCTGAGAAGCAAAAGGTCCCATTCCTACACCAGGCTCCCCAGCCAGGGCTCCAGTGCCAGAAAGACAAGTCCCCATAAGTCTGACTGTGAAAATCAGAGGGGATTCTGTCCAAGTGAGACAGAGGGCTGCTGGAGTCACAGGCATTCCTCTTAAAGAGCCCTATACATAGACTCACCCGTTGACAGACTCACTCGCTTTGAGCTCTAGTGCTGGGGCAGCAACTCCAAAAGCGCCAGGGACATATGAGTAGAAACTGAATTGTCTTTGGTTTTAGGGCACGGGCTGGAGGGGCAGCTTTTTCCCAGATAGAAGTATTGGCAGACATCATTGTTCCTTTGTTGAGCCTTCTCTCCACCCAACCTACATGTGTAGGTGGGTGCCAAGTCTGTCTCCATCAAACTGGCTAACACCATTTATCCTTCCCTGGTGATTCCCTGAGACCCTGCCCCACCCAACTTGTAGGCCCACCAAACCTGCTTCCACTGGCTTTTTCATACAAATGGCTTGTCTTGACTAACGCTGTGGACTTTCCTAAAATCTCTCCAAGGTTCATAAGCCCCAACCAGCATGTGGCCTCAGCATGCCCTGTACCTCTTGCTAAGCAGTCCCAAGCCCGGCACTAGTGTCAGCCAGCCTTGGTTCACAGCTTAGCCTCTCCCAGGCACCTCCAACCCCAGTACAAGTGGCAACCATCAGCAGATCACTTTGTAGCTCACATCAGATGGCCCAGAGCCAGGCACAGGCAGTTGCTAACCATGGCCTGCACCGAAGCCCCTCCAAAGAGGCCCTAGCACCAACACACCTGGTGGCCAGCTTCAGACCACACCACAGCACCACCCAACTACCTCCACAAACACGCCCAAAGGACAGACTCAGCAGGCACCAAAGCCCCACTAAAGCAAATCCTGCTTCATGGGGTCAGCCCTTGCATGACAGCTCCTCCACTGTAGTCACAGCCAGTCCTAACAGCCAGTCAGCCTGAGGGTCAATCCCACCCACTGATGTGCTAACAGTAATCAAGGCTCAACTACAAGAGGAGAGCACACGCAACCCACACAAGGGATTCACCTGAAGCAACCAGCTCAGGTGATCAAGGAGATCGTGCCATTGGGCCCCACAGGACACTTATTATATAAAGCCACTCTACCAAGACTGGGAGACATAGCAGCTCTACCTAATACATAGAAAGAAACACAGGGAGGCAGATAAAATGAGGAGACAAAAAAAACGTGTCCCAAATTAAAAAAAAAAACAACAGAACCAAACTCCAGAAAAAGAACTAAACAAAATGAAGACACGCCATCTACTAGATACAGAGTTTAAAACACTGGTTATAAGGTTGTGTAATGATCTCAGGGAGAACTTTAACAAAGAGTTAGGAAACATAAAAATAGAGATAGAAAACATAAAAAAAGAACCAGTCGGAAATGAAAAATTCTGTAACTAAAATGAATATGTTAGAGGCAATCAACAACAAATTGGATGAAGCAGAGGACTGAGTCAGTGATTTGGAAGATAAGGTAGCAGAAAACATCCAATCAGAATAGCAACAAGAAAAAAAGAATCAAAAAAAAAAAAATGAGGATAGTTTAAGGGACCTCTGGGACAATATCAAGCATACCAACATTTGCATTGTAGGGTACCAGAAGAAGAGAAAGAGCAAGGAATTGAACACGTATTTTAAGAAATAATGATGGAAAATTTTCCTAACCTGGTGAGAGAAATAGATATACAAGCCCAGGAAGCAGAGTCCCAAACAAGTTGAACCCAAAGAGACCCACACCAAGACACATCATAATTATAATACCAAAGTTTAAGACAGAGAATCTTAAAAGCAGCAAGAGAAAAGCAGTTAGATACTTACAAGGGAGCTCTCAAAAGCTTATCAGCTGATTTCTCAACAGAAACTTTGCAGGCCAAAAGGGATTGGCATGAAGTATTCAAAGTGATGATAAGCAAGGTCCTACAACCAAGATTACTCTACCCAGAAAGACTTTCATTTAGAATCGAAGGAGAGATAAAGAGCTTCCAAGACAAGAAAAAACTAAGGGAGTTCATCACCATCAAACCAGTATTACAGGAAATGTAAAGGAACTTCTTTAAAAAGAAAGAAAAAAGATCAAAAATATGAATGATAAAATGGCAATAACTCCATATCTATCAATAATTACCTTAAATATAAATGGATTAAATGCTCCAATCAAAGGATATAAGGTGGTTGAACGGACAAGAAAACAAAGCACATATGCTGCCTACAAGAGATTCACTTCACATTGAAAGACACAAATAGATTTTAAGTAAAGGTATGGAAAAAGATATTTCATGAAAATGGAAATTTTAAAAAAGCTGATGTAGCAATATTTATATTAGACAAAACAGACTTTAAAACAAAGGCTATAACAAGAGACAAAGAAGGACCCAGTAATTCCATTTCTGGGTATTTATCTGAAGAAACCCAAAACACTAATTCAAAAAGATATGCATTCATATGTTCATTGCAGTATTATTTACAATAACCAAGATATGGAAGCAACCTAAGTGTGCATCAATAGATGAATGGATAAAAAAAGTGATACATATATACAATGGAATATTACTCAGCCATAAAAAAAGAATGAACTCTTGCCATCTGCAACAACATGGATGGGCCTAGAGGGTATTGTTCTGAGTGGAGTAAGTCAGACAGAGAAAGACACATGCCAAATAATTTAACTTACATGTGGAATCTAAAGAAAAAAATAAATAAACAAAACAAAAACAAACTCATAGTTACAGAAAACATATTGATGGTCAACAGATGGCAGGGAAGTTAGGGAAATGGGTGAAAAAGAGGAAGGGATTAAGAAGTATAAAACAGTTACAAAATGGTAGTTACAAAACAGTCATGGGGATATAAAGTATACCATAGGGAATAGAGTCAATAATACTATAATAACTACGTATAGTGTCAGATGGGTACTAGATTTATCCGGGTGATCACTTTTTAAGTTATATAAATATCTAATAGCTATGTTGTACACCTGAAGCTAATACAATATTGTATGTCAACTGTAATTGAAAAATTTAAAAAATATTTTAAAATATCCTGGAAAAAATAAAGTGCTAAAATTATTATGCTGATAAAAGTCAACTTTATCTCATATTTGCAACACCATTTGTCATACTGAAATTAATGTTTAAAAAAAAAACATTGAATGGATATCATTTTTGATTATACATCTTTAATTGCTTAATGACTTAATTTTTCACAGAAAAAGTCAATATATTTGTCATAAATAAAAGTTGTCATTTATTTTCCAGGTTTATCACTTTTGTTTATCTCTTTTATGAGCGTCTGCTGCATGTTTATTAAAAATTTATCTTAATATGGAAACGATTCACCAATAACAGTGTCAATAAATTTCTTAAAGAGAAATATAAATAATATTTAACCTACAAATATCTGTTATTTTAGTTGTTTCCTTTATATCTGATGTACTGATGATCTATATTTTTCACCTTTATTTTCTTTGAGACAAAAGTTTAGGACAAGTTTATGATAAAAAATTATCTATTTGATGGTAAAAGGCAATAGTTCAATTTATTATAGTTTTCTTTTCCTCAAAATCCAACCTGAAATCTGTGGCATGTGATATCCCTTTTTGGTATATTGGCATTGCAAATATTTAGGAAATGGAAGAATAGACAAGTTTACACTCTGGGTTTCTGCTTCTTGTATTGGTATGTTAGTTTCATAAGATATCAGGGTCAGTAAAGGTCTCATTCTTTACAGTTTCCTGGCAAAATGGTGCTTGTTCAAGTTGCTTTGCTTGATGCATTATGTAAATTTAGAATATTCAGAAAATGTTATGGAAAAGTTTCAGAAACTTTTCTCTAGTATTATTACTATTGTTTTGCTTCAAAGTGCACATTTGTGCAATTGATATAAATAAAATCTTTTTATCATCCAACAAAACTGATTTAGAGACAAATCGTCCCAATCAAATGTTCTTCGGTCATGTGAGAATATAAGAGAAGAATCACTGAGATCAAATTCACTTTACTTATCTTTGAAATACTTATGGTATAAGAGACAGAAGCAAGAGTTAGGCAGTTTAAAAACTGTCTTGTTCCTAGCCTATTAATGTTTTTGAAGAAAACCACATTAAGTCGCTTCTGAATAATGTCTTCCATTAAAAATCTGGACTAATTTCCATTAAAATTAACTTTTTTTACTTCTGCATCTTAGCATAACTTTTAACATTGAAACCCAATGCAATCAGTCGTTTATGATAATCTTGATCAAGAGAGGTTTATATTTATTTCATTTTTAGTAGATTTTTAATCTAGGACACCTCTATACCAGTGTTTTCCCATTTTTTCTCACTATTTCTGAAAATGTCATGGTTAAGAGAAATCATGGAAAACTATTACTAGTATTTGCACAATATTTTTTGCTGATCAGAGATAGTTACTTGTGGACACTGGAACTATGGACAGCAGCTTTTCATACTGAAAACTAAATATGTGTTTTGGGGGGTATTTTGCCCCCCCCCCGTTTTTTTAAATTAAGGCACTCTGTGAAATCCTTTGAGCCACAATCTTTTTTTCTTTTTTAAATAACCGTTATAATATTTTCAAGGCTAGCCCAAAAGTGAAGCTTCACATTTTCGTAGATGCCTCATCCATAAAGCTGCATTTAAAACGATTTTTAAAATGCGTTAGATTAGTTTTCCTGCTTTTTTTGTTGTTGTTGTTTCTGAAGGTACTAAAGCAAACCCTTTATTTTACTTTCAACAAAATAACAGAGATGGGAGAGCAGTTTAATATTTTTTTCTACATCGTTTTCAACTCTTGCTTCATCCCATTGCATTCTTACCTGACATTAGTCACACACACAGTGGACTCCAAACCACTTTTCTCCATTCCACTTTTCTCCATGTAAGCATAGATATCTCCATGAGCAAAGGCCACCAGCCACCACATGATGGCGAAGAGCAGCCAGCTGCAGAGGAACGACATGGTAAAGATGACCAGCGTGTGGCGCCATTTCAGGTCCACCAAGGTAGTGAAGATGTCTTGAAGGAACCTGCCTTGCTCACGGATGTTCTTGTGCGCTAGGTTGCAGGCCCCGCTCTTGGCGATAAAGCGAGCTTTAGGGAGGCGGTCGCGGATGCGCGGCTTGCGCAGGTTCTCCGCGGCGATGCGCGCCAGCACATACTCCTCGGGGATGATGCTCTTTCTAGCCAACATCGTCCTGTCACCATAGCCAGTCTATCCACCTGTCTCTGACTTGCCTTTCTTTTTCTGGAGACCCGTCCTCCTGCACGAGGGAAACGATGATTAAAAACTCACATACTCGCCTCCACAAACACATTTCTTCATTTCTTCAGCCCTTGCATTCGGGGGGTCGAAGTGACATGCAAAACTAAAGGCAGGATTTTATTAATCTAAACACGAATTTAGTTTATACTTGAGTTCTGGGATCCTGGAGAAATTTTTTGGTCTGAATTAGAACTGTTTCAATTGTCCTTATCGTTTTGAACACATATGGATACAGCCTCAGTTAAGCAAAACCAGGAGGCTTCCTGTAAAGAGCAGGCTCAATGAAAATTCTCTGAGATTAACCGCGTCTGTAGATTAGGGCAAGGAAACAAGCACGCGGGGTCTATGGCGAAAATTAAGGCCATCTGGGTATTGCAATCTACATACTAAAGTATTTACATGATACAGCAATATAAAAAGTAAAGAGCGGGAAATTCTTCCTTCGTTATTTTTAGAAGTAGGCAAAGAAAAGGCTGTGGCCTCTTGCGCAGTATAAATAACGTTCAGTATAATTAGACAAAATAATAAGCGATGTGCTATGTAACGTGAAAATCACGGATAAGTATTTTAAATTTCAAACAAGTATTAGTTGCATTTAAAAAATATTTCCCATAATATTATAAATTGAAAACTTCTTTTCAACGAAGGGATCAAACATACAAGCTGCAGGGAAAACCCGGAAAATAGTCTGCGGGCTGCGGATAGAGTTAAAAGAGTGTTCCCGGACAAGTTCATCCAACACTGAAACCTCTACTGTGTTTTGCATTTTAAATCATTTGCGGGGAACGCGGACAGCCCTCCCTCGGCTCCAGCGGAGGAGCGTTGAAACTTACAGACTCCGGGCAGCGGGTGCGGCTGCTGCACCTCCGGGCACACGCCGGCGGACCGCAGGCAGGTCCCTCGCTCTCCCATCCCAGCGGGAGGGAGCCGGGATCACGAATGCCAGAGGGACAGATCCCAAGGCCGCGTGTCCTAGGGAGAAGAGTTAAAATAATAAAAGGTGCAACTGAATCTGAACGCGGAGAGGGCTGGAGGAAGGGGGATGGGTGTAGATCTTCCCCTCCCCCTGCTCATCTGTACTCCCTAGGCCTCTGGAGTGGGCCGAGGAGGGGCTGGGTGGGGGGAGAGAAGCTTGGGGATGATGCTCCACAAATAAGCCTCCCAGTTCAGGCTTTGACGCGCGCCAGACCTCAGAGGCCGCCAAAGTTGCCGAGGTGGGGGCGGGAGTAGAGGTGGGAGGGGGCGCGTCCCGGGGAGGTAGGGAGCAGGCCAGAGGGAGGGGCGACGGGGGAGGGCGGGACCTGTAGAACTAGTTCTTTTTCCAGTAGCTGTGACCCCCTGCTGTCAGCATGACACGCTCATCTTTAAAAGGCTCCCTGCTCCAGGGAGAGAACTTTATGAGTCTAAATTCACTGACGTAAAGAGAACTTTTTTTTTGTAACCTGGGTAAATAACTGGACTACTTAAGATTGAATAAAACCACATAGAGATGAGAAAAATAGTCTTTTAAGGCTTTCAAGCTCTGTGCACACCCATTTATTTACATTAAATTGAGTCTAGTAAGGATGATACAGGTGGAAGATGTTCTGAAACTCATCATAGCAAACTGTTTCTTCACCAGCCAAAGATAGTTCTCAGGGAATTACACACACACACACACACACACACACGCACACGCACACGCACACGCACACACACACGCACGCACGCACGCACGCACGCAACAAGTAGAAGAAAGAAAAAAAAAAAACTCGAAGTCTCTTCCAATGAGAAATTTTACCCCAAACAGGGACAGCTGTCAACACTTTGGAACTCAAATGGTCGTTCTTCAGTTCTTGGTTGCTTTCTGAAATCTTGCAGCTTCTCCATTGTCTAGATGATCTGAATAAAACAGAGAATTGCATACGAGAAGGGGTATGCAGTAAATATCTTTCTATAGTTTTTTGAAAAGGAGCCAGCAAAGACAAATGGCTTTCTCCCACAGGTCAAGCCTCCTGGTTTGGCACTTGTCTTAATGGAAACTTTAATTCTTGGAAATTTCATGTATTTTCCAAGACTCAGGGCAGAAAGTATATGAAGCATAAACAATGTGTTCATTTAATTATCAAAAAAACCTAAAATTAGTCTTTAATGAAAGCAAATGAAGAATAATTTCCCTCCTTTTGGTATCCAAAGATCTGCTTAACCCCTTCAAGCCTAGGGATCCTAGTCTGATAGGGATTCTTTCTACTGCTGTTAATTTTTGCCACCAATTGTGTGTTAGTTTTACTACAAGTATGTGGGGGCCAGCTTGAATGGTTAATCCCCTCCTTGTTCTATTTTACAGTTGAGCTTGGTACAACATATTCCCTAATATTTTGGCAGGGTAACATTCATTGAACACCTATTTTGTGAAGGGTTTTTATTGTTTTAAGTTTATGTATATCATAGTTTCTATTCCTAAGGCAGACAATTGTAGTAGAGACAAGACTTTGACTATACACTCTACTATCAGCATAGATGTGACTAGAATGAGAAAGGACAGACATACAACTAACGTGCCATGGGAATTTAAATAAGAGTTACTGAGACTAGGAGACTAAGAAAAGCTTCATGAATTACTTTGGCATCTGATCTAGCCTTTGAAGGACCAGATATATTGGGGGTATGTAGAAAAGCAGAGAAAAGACATTCCACAGAAAGAAAACATCATGAACGAAGTTGTGGAGTATTGACAAGAGTGGGCCATGTTGTAGTAATAAACTAAATTAATCAGCATTGATGATGCAAAGTCAGCAAGACAGCAGCAGGATTGGATGCTTGAGTCCAGTCCTCTCTGAGCGGCTTCTGTCACCACCACTGTAAGCATATAATGGGTTATTCATGTACTTGTCCCTTCGCCTCCACACACATACAATCCATGAAGTTGAGGGCTGCAGAAGGGCAGGGCTGTGACTTGTTTATCTTTGTATCCTAAGCCTCTAGGACAGCTCAAATTATAGAGGTGCTAAAAAAATCCTTTTGAATCAATGAATGGAAAAGATAAGATTAAAAGGCATATTGGAACCTTGGAAAACAATGCAATCTTAAATGCTCAATAAAGGAGTCTGGGCAGTCTTCAGTAGGTATTAGTAAGCCATAGAAAGATTTTGATTAGAGTCAAAATAAGTGCTTGCTTTAGGAATATTGAGCAGGAGGTAGAGGCTATGATGACATTGCTAAGTAGAGCCCTTCTCTCAGGCTCCAAAATTCTGTGACTGGCAGGCAGAAAGGGACACTGGAAACTATTGTATTAGAGGAAGAATGAGGTCTGGAGCAAATAAGTAATGTCAGTGGGCAATATACAAATATACACAAAAGGAATATTATACAGATTCAACACTGGGAGAGGAAAAACTCAGAGGTAACTGTGATGTTTATTGCAGTGACAGAACAAGTAAGAAAATTGAAATGTGAAAAGAGGAACTGCTGAGGAGAATTATGAGATTTGCAACAAATAAATTCATATCTGAACCCTGTTCTTTTGAAAATATCTGAAACTTCTGTTCTTTTGGTATAATGCCTATTTAGGTCTCAGTATCTTTTCTAGTAAGATATATTCTTCTATGTGATTTTAAGCAGTTTTGACTTGTTTTAAAATGACAAGCTATACTATATCTTTTATTAGTCAATAATTTAAGTTGATTAATTAAAAATAAGGGCACTAACAATATACACAATAAAGGTCAAATTTTAAAATGTTAAGTAAAATTTTGACAATAGAATGCCTAAAAATAAATAGCCATTTAGAAAAAAAGGTATGAAAATGTACTATAAAAATATTAGATTTTCTTTTTCTTTTGTCTTTCCATTCCCTTCCTGTCAATTTCTTTAAATCAACCCTTTATGCCTTTTTCCTTTAACTAGTTTTTCTGTCCTAGGTGGAAGCTGCACGAGCACACATTGTTTGTTGTTATCACCACTTATCCAGTGTCTGCAATTGTTCCTAGCTTCGAGAAGTAGTTACTCGATAAATCCTTGTTAAAAGAAGGAAAGAATGGAAAAAGTGCTCATAACATGGTGTTTCTCTCTTTCTTGCATTTACTCTAAATCTCATCTCTCCTCCTTTCCTGCTTTTATAACCATTTCCCATTGCCTACAAAGGTAATCTGAAGTTTGGAGATCTCTTTTGAAGTCTATGGCCATACCTGTCTGCAAAGATTCCCTTCCTCATCACCTTTCCCTTCTCTCTTTATGCTATTGTTTTTTCCACTTCAAAGTATCCACTTCTTCCTTCCTCAGCATCTCCTCTAACCACTCCAGGTCAGCAATACTCAGACTTGTTTGTCATTTTCTGGCTATGTTTCTCTTTACAACTTGATTTTGAGCTTAATGGAGACATACCTGTATCCCACAAAGGCCCTTCTGGATAATGAGTATTAGCTTAATAAATATTTATTATTGATTGATCTCTAGTTCCTCTCTTTTTTGATCATATTATGGTCCAAACAGTGAACATTTAAATTTACCTCTGAGAAATTTGTGAAGGAAATCAATTAATCTTTCAAAAACATTTATTACTTTGGGTTTATTTTATTGGTTTACTTATTTAATTACTATTTTGCTGTTATCCACTAAAGTACATGTTTTTCTTAACTGTTCTATAATTCTCCTAATTGTTATTTCAGAAGTGAAGACTTATTTGTGCACTACTTCTAGAGGAGACTAGAAATAAGTTTACAACAGAGCTAACTTTTAAAATCTTATAATTTTCTTGACTGTTCAGGAATTCTGTTAGATCTGTTCATATTGCATACCAGAGAAATTTATGCAGTTGGAAAGCAATTCAAGGATATTTGTTCACTTGTAAGTAAAAATCCATTAGGTTCATTTTAGAAACCCTCTGAGCATTTTATTTGTAGATAAAGAAGTTTCTGCAATTTTCATTCTCCAAAGAAACCAAGTTTGTCAGGTGCCTTCAAACAAGTGGAGAAAGTATTAGGTTGATGCTTTTCCTAATTTTCTGTTGCTCTGATTATCGCATACAAATCAGGGAAGTCCTTGAACGTACTCCTGAGATAAGGAGTAAAACTCTTGCATGTGATGATCTTGCCTTTGACTTGACTTGTGAATTTTGAACTCTTGGATTTCCTGGGCCATATTAGATGTAAGGATTTGGACAGTCTTCAAAATGGCAATAGAAACAATTCATGTTAGCAGCCCAAATAAAGGTTGGTCTATTTGCTTGGTATGCTGCTTTATTAGTGTCCTCATATAAACCACATATTGGAACATATTGCTTTGGAATCAGCTTAATAAAACTGTTACATAAACTAGTAATCAAAACAGCATGTTATAAACTCACTTTTTTGAAATTATCATGAAATGAGAATGACAATATAACCTTTCGTACTTATCTGTTCCAGTAAGTTCAGAGAACTTTTTTTTGAGATATATATTTATTCATGTGCAAAAAAAGTCTTACTCTCTTTTAAATTAGGTCACCCCATTTTTTTTGAAGGATATCTATGAGAACCATTCGTGAAAACGACTTCCATGCAACTTGCATGTTCAGTTCTTCAAACTTCAATTCAGCGAATAGGAAGGGGCTATTATTAACAATAACTACCTTTTAATACACATCTAGGTGAACAAAATAAAGTCCTGGCAATGCATTCTCAGGGAGGAAGCTGTTAGCAAACAAGTAGACGACTAATACATTACATAATTATCAATGGTGTCAAGATTTATAAAGAAAATAAAGCAAGATAAGATTGAAAGTAATTGGGACTAAAGGTTAGCAGTCTTACATAGAGTTCAGAAAAGGCCTCTTTAAGAAGGTGAAATTTGAAAAAAGAATCAGCAAGGTGCTTCAGGCAGCTCAAGGAAATAGCTTGGTATGTTTAAAGAACAGTTAAAAGATCAATATATTGTATGGAGAAGAAGAAAAGCAGGAGATGAGATAGGGAAAGTGAGAAGCATATTCACTGATTTGTCCATCTCTCCATTTACCCAGTGAATGAAGATTGAGAGTCTGCAGTCTGCATATACTAGGCTATTAAAAACATTGACTTAAT